AGGATGGTAGTTGGGGTGTTCACCAATCTGATTACAGAGGAAGGCCAGTTTGGACACCCTCTCCACTGTTGGTAGGAGTCTTAGCTGGGGTCATCCTTGTAGGTTCTTGGGAATTTCCCTAGCACCGGGTTTCTCCCTAACTCCACAAGATTTCTCTATCAAGATTTCTTTTTCATTGCTCTCTCACTCCGCTCCTCTCCCCTCCCCAACCATCCTGTTCCTTCATGCTCTCATCTCCTATCCCCTCCCCTCTGCCACTCCCACTTGGCCCCGGTTTACCCAGGAGAGCTCATCTAATTCCCCTTCCAAGGGCAACCCACGTGTCCCTTTTAGGGTCTTCCTTGTGACCTAGCTTCTCCGGAGCTGTGGATTGTAGTCTGGCTATCCTTTGCTTTACGTCTAATACCCACTTGAAGTTCATAGTCTTAACATTAATCGGTGGAATTCTGATGAGTTAGTAGTCTGGCAGATTATTATCATTATGTGAGCCCTCTACCTTTTCTGCAATGTGGATTTCGGTACAGATTACAAACAGTGAGAATGCTAATGTGCCTAAAACTTATCTTTCCACAGACTCAAAGAATTCCTGTAAGCTCCAGGGAGGCGACTTGACTCCACCTCAAACAACATTTTGCCAGGTACAAGCTGTGCCTGATGGTTCCACAGAGCCTGGACAGTGAAGTGAAACAGCCAGATACCCCAGGACATGTCCAGCACCCCAATTTTTTCAGGTCCCCCAAAGAAGAACGATGCCCCCAGGTCAGCAGGAAGCAGTCTCAAGAGCATGGTGTCCTCATCCCCACCTCACTTGCTATCCCTTCCTAACGCCTCACCTTTTTCTAATAAGCAAAAGGAAGGAATGTTAGTATTCAGGCATCTGCTCTGGCCTGACCTTGAGGTCCTGACAGGATACATCCTCAACTGTAGCCACTAAAGTGGCCCCCTACACAGGCATGCACATTTGCTACTTCCCTTATAAAAGGTGGGCCTTATCTACCTCCTGTCTCTCTCTATCTCTCACTTTCTCTTTCTTTCACCATTCTTGTCCCTAGGGACCGGTCTCTGTCCCCCTCTCTGCCCCCTTTTCCCCTTTCTGCCCCTTCTCTCTCCTCTTCCAATAAACCTCCCACGTGAGCCCTGCTGTATGGCTTGACCCTCTCATTGGCTGTTTTAAATAAATTGTAACACAGAGTGTGCCGTGTCTTGCAATGATTAAACTTCCAGGACAGTGGAGGGCTACACAGAAGGCTATTAGACTTTGAGTTTATTTTACTTTTGGACTCTGATTCTTCCAGGAGCTGAAAAAGCTATTTAGTTACACTATAACCAGCACCAAGGAGCCACAGCAATAAAATAAATGAGGATGACAAATTGAGGTCAATAACACAGAAAGTCCCGGCACTTAGATAAACATAAGAGCAGAAGGTCTTTTGTTGGAAAGTAGTTACTTTGTTGCATTATCTCAGACACTTACAGCCCAAACTTCCCACGCTGAAGACAGTCTGAAATATCCCCAGCGAGACAGGCATCTCCTAGAAAAGCACCCATTCACCAAAATCATTTTACTTCTGCCTGGGGACACCAGAGAAACCTCCACTGCCCTTCGTGTGTAGAGATCAAGTCAGGGCCTCCAACCAATGCCTATAGATTCAGTATAGATTCAGTTACCGTTCCAAAATCTCAACAAATTCCTGTGTTTCTTTTTCCCCACTCTGGCTTTAACGTGAAATTTAGTCCCCCCAAAGAAGTATGGCAGGGTGTACATTTTTGAGGGTTTTTTTTGGGGGGGGGGGTTGGTTGGTTTTTTTTTTCCCAAGAGAGGGTTTCTCTGTAGCTTACATGCAGCAAAACTCCCATACATAAAATAATAAATTTTTAAAAGTCAATTATTGTTCTGGGAGGCAGAGACAGGCAGATATCTGTGAGTTCAAGCCAGCCTGGTCTACACTCAGAGGTCCTGTCTCGAAACAACCAAAAGCTAACTATTAAAACTGCTTAGTTCTGTGAGCCTAGCCTAAGGCAGCCACAGACATTACATAACCAAGTAAGTCTGGCATGTTCTGACAAAACTTCACATACAAAACAACCTGCAGGTTGGATTTGACCTGTGGATTGTTAGTCATTGGCCACTGTCCTAAGACATCCTTTTTACTATTAAAAAATATAGTCTAGAAAGAGACAAGGAGGAGAGAGAGAGAGAGAGAGAGAGAGCACAGAGGGTGAGGATGGATGGCAAGTGAGGGTGGACATCCCAAGTCTGATCCCTGGTCCTGCATGAGAGAAGGTGAAGACCAACTCCTACAGGTTCTCTAACCACCATGAAGGTCTTCTGACCTCCACGTGGACACTGCCGTGCATGGGCCTACATGCACACACACACACACACACACACACACACGCATGCACACAATAAACAAATGTAGTTTTCTAAAAAGCTGAGGGCTGGACATTTTCTTACAAAAACGTGATTCACAGCTGGGAATGTGGCTCTGTCAGTGAAGTGTTTTCCTGGCATGCAGAACCCTAGGCTCAATCCCCAGCATTTCCTAAACTGGGCATAGCAGTCCTGTCTGTAATCTTGGCACTTGGGAGGCAGAGGCAAGGGGGACCAGAACAGCCAGCCTCACATATATTGTGATTTTGAGACCAGCCTGGACTACATGAGACCTTGTCTTCAAACAACAAACAACAACTACTCTACCCCCCCCCCAAAAAAAAAAAAACCAAAACAAACATCCCATGGTTTATAAAAAATTCTGGGAGAATCATAGACTGGCGTGCAACAAGTCCCGGAGCCACATGGGATGGCAGTCACGGGGAAGGGGAAGGACGCAGCAGGAAGAGCTAGATGTAGATGTGGGTGTGGTTTCTCTGTGTCCTGGCAATCATTCCCAGATAACCGCTCAGTGAGTTATTATCATAAATGCTCGGCTGATAGCTTAGGCTTGTCTTCAGTCAGCTCTTACAACTTAAATTAATCCATTTCTATTAATCTATGTGCCGCCCTGAGGCTCCTTTACCTCATCTATGAACTTCCCGTGTTGCTTCTTTGGAGTCTGGCTTCCGACTCCCTCGACTCCATCCTTCTTCTTCCCAGCATTCTCTCTGCCCGCAAAATCCTGCCTCACTATTGGTCAATCAGTTTTTTTATTAACAATGAGACTAACACATTTTCTTTTTCTTTTTTCTTCCCTCCCTCCCTCCCTCCCTCCCTCCCTCCCTCCTGCCCTCTCACCCTCCCTTCCTTTTTTTTTTTTTTTTTCCAAGACAGCATTTCTCCATGTAGCAGTCCTAGCTGTCCTGGAACTAGCTCTTATAGATCAGGCTGGCCTTGAACTCACAGAGATCCTCCAGCCTCTGCCTCCTAAGGGTGCTGGGATTAAAGGAGTGTGCCATTGCCCACAGGATGAGAGCAACACGTTTTCACAGTGTACAAAAAGATTATTCTATAACAACTAGAGTTAGAAAGAAAAGGAATCCAGTGGAAGAGGCAGACCTGCTGCAGGGCAGGCAGGCTCTGCTTTAAGGGCACACCTGCCAGATCCTTGCAGTACCCTGCAAGACAGAAGGGGGACTGTGGGGTCGCATGGGAGCATCTGGCCAGCACACAGCCTCTCGCACCTGGAGACTTGAGGGGTTTAACCCTTGAGCTGGCCATCTGAGCTAACCTTTTAGCTGGAACAATTGATACAAAACACATAGAATTCACAGGCCTAGGAATGTTCACATCAACTAAGCAGTCGGACTCCTTCCCCTAGGAGTATGGGCTTGGGTCTCCCATAGCCTGGCCCAACTTCCTGGTGATGGCCAGGCTGAGGTTAAGAGGCTCTCTGGAGAGAAGCAGGGGGAGCACAGAGAAGGAAATGGCTAAGGATCTTTGAACCTTGCTTCCAGCCATTCCTGGGGCCAGCTCCACCCTGCCTCCCCTAGTAATATGAGCCAATAAATTCCTTGTTCAGTGCTGAGCTCCTCTTTCTCAGACCTCTGCTCTCAGAGACCTTCCTTTCCGTAACAAGCCCCAAGTCTCCTTCACTTCTCACTGACTCCACTGTCACCAGCGGCCCCCTGACCCCCTTCTGCTTCCTGTTACCTGTGTCCACTCGGCAGGATAAACTGTCTTAGACAAATGCCAATGGATCACGTCACTTCTCTGCCCGAAATGTCCCATGTGGTCCTCTGACTGGACTTCTCACCATTTCTCCTCATCACAGGCTCCTCCACTCTGGCTACCTCCTTGTTTCTCAAACCCCTTACGCTCCTGGTTTCCTCACTATCCTGAAATCCTTTCTCAGGAATTTGCGTGAATAGCTCATTTTCTTTAACACGGTGACATAACTGTAGCTCCCCACACCCTATCTCTTTATTCTTGCTTATTACTTTAATCTCTATACTTATTTATTTATTGAGAGTGTGTGTGTGCATGTGTGTGTGTGCATGTGTGAGTGTGTGTACATGCATGTCATAGCACTCGTGTATTGGTGAGAGGACAGTTTGTAGGATTGGTTCTCACCTTCCACCACGTAGGTCTTAGAGATCAAACTCAGATTGTCAGTCTCGGCAGGAAAGCACCTTTTACCTACTGAGCTATCGCACCAGCCCATCTTTTTATTTGGTTTTAATTATTATGACATTTGCGAGTGTGGGAACATCGGTGACACAAAACACATGTGGAGTGAGGGGACAGCTTTTAGGAGTTGGTTCTCTCCTTCCCCCGTGTTGGTTCTGGGGACAGCACTTGGATCATCATGGCTGTGCCTGTTCATCTCCCTGGGCAGTTTGTGCCCTGGGCCGACAGCATCTTCCCCGGCCATGGCCTATCCACACAGCCAGTAATCAGTTACTAAACGAATGCGTTATAAAACACAGGGTGTGGCAGTCGATACAGCTCAAAGATCTGCTGGGTCGCTTCCTCTGTACCACACTGCCGTCCACACATTTCCCACTACTTAAATCAGAGAGGATCCTGAACTTAGCACTCACCCAGACTCAGCCTGCTTCCACATGTCCACACTGGCAACTGTCAGAATTGACTAGGTCTGGCCTGATGTGGGGAGCACCTCACTCCTGGCCTGGTTCCTCCTCTGTGGATCCCTGACCACACAATCTCCCAAGCCCTGGCTCCCAGGGTCTGACTTTCAGTTCATATGATGACCTTTGCTATGAGAAAGCGCTGGCTGTAAAAGGAAGGAGCGTTGATTCCTTCTGTGGTTAACGATTGATAATAACTAAGAGTCAGAGGACTGGAGTGGGTACTCCATATGACAGATCATACTGGGCTCCTGGTGCTTGGGAGCCGAGTGGAGTCAGTTTGTCACTGGGAGGTCATGCATTCAAGAGGTCATTCACCCTGGAATGGCAGCAAAGGCATCAGGCCTGGGCGTGTGCTAAGGGCAGAGCTACCAAATGGGCCCCTGCTGCTGTGAACTCTGGAGGTGAAGCATCTCTCTACAACTGGACATTTCCGGGGAGGGTTCCCATGCAAACACTGCCCCAGGTTCCTGAGAGCAAGAAGAGGAAAACCCAGAAACCAAGGCCACCACCACCCAGCCTGAGGTCCCAAGAATTCCAGATCCAGGGTAAGTTATCTCGGTCTGCTGTGGGGACGGGTGGCTCAAGGTCTGTGGCAGGAATCACAGCAATGGGTAAGCTCTGTTAAAATGAAAGGATGTGATAGAAGAAGCAAAGGAACGTGGTACCTCACTGCAATGTGATGTCCTGTGCCAGATGGTGAACAGGACAAGGACGCTGGGAAAACTAAGTATGGAAGTATGGAGATTAATTTAATAATGATATAGTCTGTGCCAGGTACCATGAGAGTAACTAAACTTTGCTGTTTCTGAGAAATTGAGTTTTACTTTTTTTTTTTTTTGGTGGTTTGAAACAGGGTATCTGTAGGTTGGAGCCTGTCCTGGAACTAGCTCTTTGTAGACCAGGCTGGCCTTGAACTCACAGAGATCCACTTGCCTCTGCCTCCCGAGCTCTGGGATTAAAGGTGTGCACTACCACCACCTGGCCAAGTTTTACTTTTTAAAACACTATTTTATGTTTATGAGTATTTTGCCTACACATATGTCTGTGTAGCATGCATGTACAGTATCCTCAGAGGCCAGTGTTCAATCCTGGAACTGGAGTTACATACAGACTGTTGTGAGCTGTCCTGTAGGTCCTGGAAATACAACCCCGGTCTTCTGCAAGAGCAACACATGCTCTTAACAGCTGAACCATTGCTTCAGTTCCCCCCCACACACACACTTTTAATGGATTGTGCTGGACAGCTTCACAGTTTCCCTCAGATGGGATAGCTTCACCGTTCGACTCAGATGGCTGTGGAGCCTGGAAAAGCTGTTGCTGCGGTTGGTACATTCCACATTACTATTACCGCTCTCTCCACCCGCGCACCCACAAACATACCATTTTCAGTTTTCGAAACTTTGGTTGTGCTGTCAACGACAGAAGCAAAGGACCTTGGTTTACTATGCTGAGTTGACAGTGTCCAGAGAGTGACAGCCGCAATGGTCTACCAACATTAAACTTAGCCCCCTTCCCACCTAGAGAGGATAAGACACTCTATTAAAGACGCACAGCCTTCATACACGGATTTGATCACAGAAGCTAATAGATAACACCCTTTAGATGTTAACAGATGCAGATGGGGGTCAGGGCATGACAGAAAGCCTCTTGCTGCTGTGGTATCTCAGAGTGGAAGGGCTTGGGTTTAGACCCGTCTCACCGCTTCCCATCTCCATCCCTCTCCGGATCCCTCTTCCTCCATCTCTGTCGCTATCCCAATGTCTCCTGGGAATCTATGCTAGGCCAACACTCAGCCACTGAGCTACAGCTCAAGCATGCATGCATCTTCACACACTTAGTCCATGAATTAAATATCCCAAGTCAAAATTGTTCTTTCAGAAAAGTATATGACATGTATCACATTGAAACGTGCATTTAAGTGTGCAGAATTGGCTAGGAATCTTGACTGCCCTTCCAAAGGACAGGAGTTTGATCCCCAGCCCCATGTGGTAGCTCACAACTGCCTGTAACTCCAGTTCCAAGGGATCCAGCATTCTTCTGACCTCTGTGGGTACCAGGCACAAAAGTGGTACAGACACACATGCAGACAAAACACCCATATACATAAAATCCAGAAAACTGGAAAAACTGGTATTGTAGGTCAGTGGTAGAGTTCTTACTCACCTAGCATGTGTAAGGCCCTTGGCTTGATCTCCAGCGACACACACAGGAATTACATGCCTTGTTGTTATGAATGAGTGGCTCACTCAAAAGAAATCTAATATGCACAGAAGTTTTCAAAGTCAGTGTCACATGCACGTGTCTAGGCTCTATCACAGTCCCCAGAAGAAGACAGTATTTGCTGCCTAGACGTCCCTGTTCTTTTCTATGGGTGTGAGGAGCAGGGTTAATCTGATATTATTAATACAGGCACTGCAACTGGTTGGACTGCCTCGTTCTCCCCAGTGTGGCATTCCGGACAGCCAAAGGGACTCAGATCTCATTGATTAGCCATCTGCTTGACTTTGTCTTTTCTATCACATCCCTAACCAAGGAAGTGGGAAGTAGGCATCTGAGTCCTAAAATGTCTTAAATCTTTACTTTTTCTTAAAGATTTATTTTACTTTTAATTTTGGGGCTGGAGAGATGGCTCAGAGGTTAAGAGCATTGCCTGTTCTTCCAAAGGTCCTGAGTTCAATTCCCAGCAACCACATGGTGGCTCACAACCATCTGTAATGAGTTCTGTTGCCCTCTTCTGTCCTGCAGGCATACATACAGACAGAATATTGTATACATAATAAATAAATAAATATTTTAATTTTGTATGTATGTGTGTGTATGCACTTGTAGAGGCCAGGAGAGGATATTGGATCCTCTGGAACTATAGTACCATGTAAGTCACACTGATCTAAGTGCTGAGAATTGAACCCAGTCCCTTTGCAACAGTGGTTCTCAACCTTCCTATCGCTGTAACCCTTTAATACAGTTCCTCATGTTGTGGTGACCTCCAACCATAAGATTATTTTGTTGCTTCTTCAGAAATGTAATTTTGCTTCTGCTATGAGTGGTAATGTAAATGTCTGATATGCAACCCCCAAAGGGGTCGAGACTTACAGGTTGAGAAACGATGTTTTACAAGAACAGAACTTGCTTTTAATCCCTGAGTCATCTGTCCAGCTCCCAAAGGGTTTTTCTTCCCACCCACAGTTGGTCCCTACTTACGCGCATGACTGAGTGCCTAAACTTAGCTGAGAAAGCTTAGCTCTTATATTCATGTCAAAATATTTTCTCCCAGTCTGTCAGTGTTTTTATGTTTTTTTTTTTTTTTTAAGAGGACTTAGTGCCAGAGAAAACTCTGGTGTCAGTCTGGTCCTTTTGTTTCCCTTTGGCTGTCTGCCATCCGGTTGTTTGAGAAAGTTCCAGGCTGCACATACAACAGCTGTCTCAGGCAGAGCTGTAGAACCCGTGCCCTTGAGACCATGTAAACTTGTTGCCTTCGGTGGCTCTCATGAGTGCCCAGGACATGTTTTCATGACAGATCTATTCCACACCCTTCTTCTGTTTTATGTCTTCAATTATTTACTTTTAATATTGTTTGATTTCTATTTCCCCTTTCTTCCTTTCTCAGAGGCAACTATCCTATTGTCTTTAACACATCCCTTAAAAGTTGTTCTAGGAAAACACGTTTTCAGTTTTGATAAGTGGTATGGTATGTCCCCCTTGAGGACAGTTTTTATTACATTTGTTTGAGATGGGGGGGTGCTCCCATGCCATGCCACACATGTAGAGGTCAAAGGACAACTTACGAGAGTTGGTTCTCTTCTTCCACCATGCAGGGCCTGGGGATTGAACTCTGTGTAGCTGTCAGGCTTCGTGGCAAACACCTTTACCAACTGAGCCAGTTTATCCATCCAGACTTAGAATTTTCGCAAGGGTTTTGTCTTCTTGTAAGCTAATCTGCCAGGAGTGTTCAACTCGCAGCCCACAGGCCACAAGCTGTTGAGAAGAACTATGAATGTGGTATCACACTAACTTGTAAGCTTACTTAAAACACGAGGTTTCTAAGATTACAAAGCTTTTGTAGATGACAAGAACCTGTAGAGCAGTCAGGAGGAAGAGCTGCTGGTCAAGGCCAGAACTGCTCAGTGCAATAGCCTCCAGCCGTGCGTTACTGAGCACTGAACCGTCAAGCATAAATTTTACACCCATTTTTCAAAGGCCTGGTATCAAAAAAAATGTAAAAACACCCAAATACATCAATCACATGGAAATAATACTTTAAGTGTATTGTCTCTGCTGAAATATGCTGTCAAAATTAGCCTCACTGTTCCTTTAAATACAGGGACAGAAAATCTTGGGTGAAGTAGCAATAAGAGGTGGTATGTGTGTGAACATGCCTGTCTGTTTTGAGGGATCTAAGGCTTGGTCTATTACAGCTACCTGCTTTATTTCTCAAGGACAGAAACAGGCTCAAACTAAGGGGACACGATTCAAGTCCTTTGCAAGGGCCCCTCTGCCCTCCAGTGGCACAGCTCACACTGGCTATGCAAGGCCCCTCTGCACTCCAGTGGGACAGCTCACACTGGCCTATACATTTTTGTTCCTTCCCACGCACACTAAGCATTTTCATGAAGATTTGAGCCACTTTCTCCTCTGTGGTTCCTGACCAGGTCCCACCTGCTCCTGGGATCACATTCTTATTTTATCCATATATCTATCTACCATCTAGCTGTCATGGACAAAACCCCATAAATCTCACTTCAAAGGAGATAAGAAATGGTTTATCCTAGAGCCAAATATAAGTAAGCATGGCCCAGGAACACAGACCTCAGTTACCCTAAATTCCAGGCTCCAAGTGGTAGCAGTTTCAGGAAGGGTTGTAGTGGGCAAGGGTAGGGGAGTTGGGGATGGAGTCAGGGGGTGGAGTGTCTCAGTATGGAGTCCTGGCTGGTTCCGACCTTGTTGTGGAGACCAAGCAGGCCTTGAACTCACAGAGATCCTCCTGCCTCTGCCTTCCAAGAGCCTCATGAAGTTTTATAGTAACAGGGCAAAGAAAGTGACAAGTCAAGACACTTTATAAATGTGTCATTGTAAATATCAGGTAATCAGGCAGGGTACAGAAAAGCAAGAAAGTCTTTGCTGTAGAACCACATTCGTAGCCTTCTGGGTGGTAGGAGCTAGGGGTCTGTATGCACATTCCAAAGGATTTACCTGCTAGTCACAGAGATGGTAGGTCATACCCAGAGACAGGTAATGCCCAGAGAGACAGGTGATATACAGCCATTGAGGGGGCTAAAGATGGCCTAGGACAACCTGACTCTGGACTTGTAACATTCCAACCTTTGAACGTTGAGATTCTAATCGGTGATCAGCTTTGTAAGATAAGCTTCTTTCAAGGTACTTCATTCTACCTGCCTGTCAGTCATTTAGGTAACAGGAAGTCCCTACATAGCTCGCGCTGATCTGGAACACTTCCCGTTACCCAGGCCTTGAACTAGCTATCAATCCTCCAGACTCTGTCTCCTGAGCGTCCTCATTGTGTTCACCGCCAGTCAGCGTCAGTTCAGGTTCTTGCAGCCCTAGAACTGTGGGCTATAGGATGGCCATTTGGACAAGGAGGGAAGGTGGACCAGGGACAAGATGAGCTGTCTGCTGTTGCCAGAGTTGTCTGCTCAGAGGCCAGAACCTGAGAGACCAGGAGGGCAGCTGGGGCTCTAAAACGTATCTGTTCACAGCCCAGAAACATCTCAACCAGGAGCAGAGACATGGACACTATGGAGGGAGCTGCAGTCAGTCCTGAGGTGCCCCAGGAACTCCTGGAAGAAATGATTTGGGTTTTTCGTGTAGAAGATGGTAAGTGATTGGGAGACTAGGGGAGGTGGAGCAATTCGGCACTGTCTCCTCTACCCCACCAAGTGGCACATTTTCTTCAAAAGGGAGAGAGGCTAAGCATCTCATCACAGGGGGCTGAGCTCAGCCCATTTGCCCTTTCTCAGGGTATGGGCCACTTACTCAGCTATCAGTCACCTCTATTATACTGTGTGCTGGGCATGGTCCCTAGCACTGGGGTTAGCTACAGCAGTGACAAAGCACAGGTCTCTACCCACATGGAGTGTCCATTCTAGTAGAGGACACAGAAAATAAACCAACAACCAAAAGTATGACATGTTCCCAGTGCATAGTAAAAAAAAAAAAAAAAAAAAAAAAAAAAGCAAGCTGGGCCCACTAGCCCAGGTCTGTAATCCTAGCTACTCAAGAGGCTCAGCCATGGCGATCACAAGTTCGAGGCCTGCTTGAGCCACAGAGTTGAAGTCCAGCCTGGGCAGCTTAGTGAAATCCTGTCTCAGAACTTAAGAAGGGTTTGGCATTCAATGGTGACGTGACTGTCTAGCGCACGAGGAATCCCTAAATTCAAACCTCAATATAATGTGTGTAGTGGGGGTGGGAGGTGGAGGTGGGGTGAGAAGCGGGAGGGGGGCTGGGAGTGGGAGGTGGGGGGGGGTAAGAAGAGGGATAGGGGGTGGGAGGTGGGGGTGGATTACACAGCAAGGTAGATAATGTAATCAGGGAAAGCCTCATTCTGATAAAAGCTCGCTGTGGGAAAAACCCTTGCAGGAAGGGAAGGAATTCACTGTCAGATCACTTGGTGGACGACCCTTCCTGCCAGGGGGAAGTAAAAGCTGTGAGCCTGGAGCCCGCCTCACTTGGAGACAGTCTGACACATCCTGAGCTCCCACAGCCCAGCCTGCCATTTCACCAGCTACCCCTGGCGGGCAGTCACTACATCCAGATAGATGTCTTACCACTTCCCTCTCCCTCTCTCCTCTCTCTTCCTCCTCCTCATAAAGGTAGTGAAGGTGAAGACTGAAGTTCAGGGTGACCCACTTCCTCCTCCTTGCCACTCCCACCCCCTTTACCCAGCAAGTATCCAAACGCAATGCTGTCTCCCCCACAGGATCAGGGCTGGTCCAGAGCAGAGACCCTGTCTCCCCTCCACCCATTCACACACTGGTCAGTCGGGCAGTTCCCTCAGAGCAAGGGGTCTTGATGGGGTCTCCATAGCAGGAGACAAAGAATGATCAGAGACGGGCCCGAGTCCAAGCCCCAGCTGTGAGTGGGTCTGAGTGGCACCTGGCCTGAGGATTTATGTCTGTGTGTCCCTCCTCAGCGGCTCCTTGGAATTATTCCATGCTGGCTCTGGCAATCCTGGTGGCAGCCATAAGCATGTTCCTCCTGAGACGGAGCATCCTGGCAAACAGGTGAGCGGTTGGTCTGGAGTGGGTCTCCAGAGGGAGGGGCGGGGCTTCCTTCCTAGATGACAATCTAAGAAGTCACTTAGGGAAACTGGCTCTTCACTCTTTGGTGGCAGCTGCCAGGGACGAAAGCTATTAAACAAACAACCCACAGCTGCCTCTGGTTACAATCCTAGCCCTGGCCAGCAATTTAAAATGACTCAGAAGGTGTCACCCTTTAAGTGGTCCCGGCCCCTCTTACCCTGTCAGGAAGGATTTCTCTCAGCAAACTCAACTGAGGGACAAGGTGGCTGTCCACAGGGGCAACAGGGAGGCCTGCTCCCTTGTGGGCCAGGCAGATTCTCTGGTGCTCAGGTCCTTCCACCGTGGCCTTCAGGAAGCCCAGGTGTTCCTAAAGTAAACCAGCTTGGAGAAAGGAGAGATGGTCAAGAATTAGCAGAAAGACTGTCAGGCTGAGGAAGTAGGTAGCAGGAGCCGTGTGCAGGGTTGGGTCTCACATGCATGACTAACAGCGTGGGCAAGCCTGTTTGGAGAAACAAGGAGAATGAGAGATTGAAGGTTAGTTAGGGTTTCTGGCAGCATCTTAGGAATAGAGCATAAACTAAGAATCTGTAGAACCTGAACTAAGTAAGATGACAGCTCTGGGACCAGGATAGCGTGGTTTGGGGGAAAATCACAGGGCTCAAAACAGGTAGATTTAAATGTACAATGCATGTATGAGACTTCCTCATCTCTAAGGGGGAAGGGCTGTCAATCAAACTTAGCTCCCAGGTAGCCTTGCAGAGAGAGATGATAGATATAAAAGTGGGAGCCACTCGGCCACTGCCACTTCTGTACAGAGGATCTCCCTTCAAGCTCCCTAACCACTCGGTCCTGACCCAGCCGCTCCGCATCCCTGATCAACACTATTTCCTCTTCCCCAGAAACCGCAAGAAGCAGTCCCAAGACAAAGAAACACCAGAAACGCTGCACCCGAACGATTTCAGAATGAAAGAAAACAGCAGCCTGAGCCATCTAAAAGAGACACTGATCACAGAGAAGCCAGACTTGCCCCTGGGGGAAACGGAGCTGAAGGAGAAAGACGCAGCGCAGGTCTTCTTTCTACCCGACCCACAGGAAACTGAGAGCTAGGGGGCGCTGAGAAAACACACTACCCCAGCCTGAACGTGACTGTGGTCTGAGCCCAGCTCTGTGGCCTCAAACCCCTCAGGTTGGACGGTAACGTCCAGTCAGCCTAACTTATTTTCAACAGACACAATAAACAAACTACAACCAGACAAAAATTCGTTATTTTAAAAAAGTCTTTTATTAAAATGCTTCTCCAGGTGGGCAGTTCAAATGCTGGTGTTCTACAAAGCACACACTAGTGGCTTGGATCAAATGTACAAAGTTCAGTCGTGTGTGTAGTGGAAGCCTTAATTCCAGCACTAGGAGGGCTGAGGCAGGTGGATTCTGTGAGTTCAACTCAAGCCTCGTTTGCATAGTGAGCTCCAGGACAGCCAGAGCTACATACTAGAGAGACCCTGTATTTAAAAAAATATAAAAGTACAAAGTTCAGAGTTGGTCACAGGACCAGAACTTGTAGCACATGCTCCCCATGACCTCAGCATCTCCAGCAATAGAACAGAGCTAAAGACAGGGTTAGAGACATTTCAGTCCAAGCTCCTGGGTCTGTTGGCCTGTTGGCTGGGAGCCGAAGGAGCAGGCTTCCTAGGTGAGGATGCCCGGCTCAGTCCTTCTAATGCCCCCTCTTGAACCAGCTCATTTAGTTTGTGGTAAACAGTGAAACCGATCAGCCTTCTCACACCTGGGACTTGGTAGAACACCAAATGGTTGGTGCAAAAGTCCACCTTATTAATCCCAAACACTGAGGGATCTCACTCTCCAAAATGGGCTTTTAACACTCAGCTCCATTGCTGAGGGTCCTAGGTCCAACCAGACCAGACTGCACCTACCTAGCACTGAGCAGGCCAATGGTGCCCACCAGGGGGTGTCTGTTCCCGCCAGCTGTGGACTCCCTGGGGATCATCACTGGGCAGGATGACTTTCTGCAGCCTTAGTGATTAAGCTCAAGAAGGGGGGTCCTGGGAGTCTACTAATAAAGTGGACACAAGAGTCCCCCAAATGCTGATGGGGAAAAATGCTAGAGGCTCCCTAGCCTGGAGAACCCACAGCCCCTTTCTGCACCCTTCACTGAGAGCGAGAGTTGAAATGCTCCCATCCCATTCAGCGCCCTGTCCAGGCTTTCACAGGATTATTTTAACTGGATTTTTCTTGGATAAGCTCTAAGGTTTGTAGCCTGGGGTTTTGAGAGGTCAGAAGATACGGGAGGCACCAGCTGTGGGCCTCTGAACAACTGCCCTACCTCTTTCTATCACCAGGAGACAGTAGGACCTCAGGGCCAGCCATCCTGTAAAGTGTTAGCTGTCTTCACATAGACAAAGCTTTGAACAGGGGCTGCAGCTGACCTATCAGGGGCTGAAGCAGGCAGAAGTCACGGCACAGGATATGCACGGCAGTTCTTCCTGCTTGCAGCCGATTCCAGATCTCTGACTTGTAACGGGACAGTTTCTCTCCAGGGTGGTGGCTGCAAAGGTTACCATGGAGCCCAAGGCCTGGAGGCACTCAGTGCAGCATCCCCACCTGTCCCCTGGCTCACACAGTGAGCATGTAGAGACTGCTTGGTGCTGGAGGTGGAGGCTGCTATCTACCAGAGCATAAGGGCCTTTGCTTCAGCAGAGGGCAAGCCAGCTCCTGCCCTGCAGCCCCGAGCATCAGTGAAGCCTAAATTTCCCGTAGAAGGGTCCTCAGAAGATCTTGAAGCCCTTCAGTAGGGTCAAGGTGGGCGCCTTGCGCTTGCTCTGGGCACGGGATGACTTCACAGTGACCAGCTTGGCCTGGGCCACCGTGGGCATCTCCTTCAGGCTGACAGTGGAGAGAGTGTTGAAAGTACAGCTGGCCAGCCCATGTCGGGCTGTGAGCGGGGTCTGGTGAGACAGGGCTTTCTCCTCAGAGATGAAGAGGGGCCGGGCCATGGGGTTCTTCTCCAGCCCCCGCCGTACCTCCCGCACTGCCTCATGGAAAACGTGCTGCACGTGCTCAAAGTCCAGGCAGGCAGAGACCTCAAAAAACAGGCACCCGAATCGGCCTGCCAAAGCCGCTCCCTCAGCCTTGGTGACCTGCCTGGCGAGGAAGCAGGGTGAGGCAGTCAGGAGTGCGACCTTCAGAGTCAGGGAGGGAGGGTCCCCCCATATCCATCTCCCCACCCAGCTGTCTGGGCCCATCTTCATTTTCTGAATCTGTTTTCTCATCAATACAACAGGGGAATGGCACCCACCTCTGGGAGCTGTTAGGACTACGAAAGACAATTTACATGGCGTGCTTAGCGTAATTCCTGGCACGGACTCAGCACTGAATAAGTGGGAGCTGATGTTGCTGGAATTTAGGAATGACTATGAAGAAAAGGGAAAAGAAGAAATCAAATTCTCCCATGCTGGACTGTGCCTGTGGCCAAAGGAAGAAAGCCATTGCCTGTCTCCTCAGAAAACGGCCACCCTTCGTTAGCCCTAGCTTGAGGGCCTGGCATTAGGAAGGAACAGTGATTTGCACTGAAGGGGGCCGCACCCCTCAGATTACTCAGGAAGCCTGTTACTGGCAGACTCTTGGGGCTTGTGGACGTTTTGTCTGCTTGTCTAGCTGAGGGCAGGTAGAGCGCAGAGGAACAGGACAGGGGTGCTGCGTGTGCTCCTGTTTGGTCCTCTCTGCCTCCTGCAAGGACAGGATAGACATTTGCGAGTGGAAGTTCCCATGGGAATGGAGCTGGAGAAAAAATGAAGACTGGCTCTTGGGAAGCTCGTCCATCCAGACAGGGACTCCTCGGGACTTGAGGCCAAGACTCCCGCTCACCGCCACCCATTGATGAGCTGCCCCAACCACTGCACAGTCCAAGATGGGAGGAGATACCAGGGAATGGGGAAAGTTTCTGGACCAAGGTTGATTTAGCAAGAGCAAGGGGACCGGAGACCCAGTGTGCCGCTGAGCCCTAACCTATTAGTGTTGCATTCAGCAAAAAAGGAAGTGGGGTAAACCATCACGTCTTGTATCCAGGAAACCAGGGCTGCTTATTCAAACCCTGGGTTCCTGCTCAATCGCTTGCAAGCCATTTTTCAACAATGCTTTTGGTAGACACTGGGGTTAAAACAGCATCCTGTAGTCACCCTCCCCGACTCATGTCCTATTGAACATTCTCCCTCTAATTCCACTGTCCAGTCTTCTGCTCGCTCTTCCAGGTTCGGAGCTATTTCAAGGCCCACCTTCAGCAATGTACCCACTGTACAACATCCCTTATTCCCCAAGATGCAACTTTTCTCAGACTGAAGGTTGGACCTCCCACGAAGAAGGCTCCATACCATCACAGTACCCTTTCAGGAAAACCACAACTCTCTTCTCCCTCTGCCTGAGTGACGTGATCTGAACAAATCCCAACCTCAGTCACTGGGCCTCTGGGGTCTGGGAGAGCAAGCACAAGCTAAGAGCAGACCGGGACTAGCAGAAGGCACCACGCCCAGCAGGTGTACTGGCCACGTGGAACAATGTCCACGTTGGAGAGTCTCAGTTCCATTGCTCAAGTGTAGGCCTCGGTGTCAAGGACCTCAGGGCCAGGCGGGTAACTTGGATGTGTGGGGAGGGTGGAGGCAGAAACCACAGGGAGGGGCAGGGTCTGTGGTCAGCTGAAGGAAGCAGGCCCCACCTCAAAGCATTCCAATTCCAAGTCATTGAAAACATTGTGCCAGCCAAGCAAAACATGGCTGGCGATTCTGCGGCGATCTGCCCTCTGGCCCAGTCTGTGACCTCTGGTTCAAGTCTAAGCCTTTCTAAGAGAGGCCTGCCCTTAGCAGCCTACTATGGCAACAAGCCTGGGGTACCATGCCTGGATGAGGCAAGGGCTGGCTGGTTGGACCATAGCAAACACCTGATCCAACGAGCAAATGAGACCCTCTCCTTGGGACTGGAGTTGGGCACCAAATGACGAGTCAGCTGCTGGGGGGAGGTGTGCCAGAATGTCCCATAGCCTCAGGCCAGGCTGATGTAAGAGACCACTGAGACTTCCGAAACAAAGGGGAGCCTTCTCTCTTTTGCCTATTGGAGTTCAGCCCACCCCTAAGTGGCCCTTCCTGTCATTGGTCACCTAGGAGACAAACTCCCGGCATAATCCCTCTACCTAAAGTTGACAGCACCACCATTCTTGGCATCAGTGATCCCTAGGTATATCATTCTGCATCCATATGCAAGCGAGCTTTAGAGAAGAGGGCTAAGATGCCCGCACCCACCTGTACTGGGCCATGTCCAGCTTGTTGCCCAGCAACAGAGCAGGGTAGCCACGCTGAGTCTCCTTGGCATGCAAGGCCAGCAACTCCAGGTAGCTGCTGCTGCCCTCAAAACTCTGGCGACTATCGACGCTATAGACCACCAGGAAGGCATGGGCCCAGTTCAGATAGCGCTCGCAGTTCCTGGGGGTGTCCTGGATTGAAGGAGAGGAATCCGACTTAGAGGCAGGAGAATGTGGGGGGAAGGCCTTCACCTGGGCTGTCCTCTCTGCCTCCCGAGTCTGCGTATACTGTTCCCCAGCAAATCTCTGCACAGGGGCACTTCAGTGTTGATTTGGCTCAGTGTGAAAAGAGACATTGTCTCATGAACCTCCTCCCACCACCCAGTCAGAGACCTGGAGACCTTGGCCCCTTGGGCACTGAGTCAAAGATTTTGGCATGGCCCTCCAAGGACCTGCTGTCCCTGAGTACTGCTGGTTTTGGGTCAGGTCCATACTACCCCTTTGGCCTCTGAGAACTGACTCCAGCCATGGCAGGGGGTAGGGAGGACTTGGAGAGATATGCTGGGGAGACAGGCTGGCACACTCCCGTTGCAGTGTCTGTGTAAACAGGCATGCACACGTGTGTGCTTAGCCTTACAGCACAGGATATCTGGGCTGATGTCAGCAATTCAGGCCCCAAAGAGTCAGAGCCCCATTCAGGGCCACACAGCAACCTGGAGTCTGACAGGATCCAGATTCCAGTGTGAGGTCAGAACTTGGGAGGCTGCACGGATTCGCTGCCCTCTCTGGGAGGTTGAGGGAATGGGGATAATGTTACCAGGTCTGCAGTGTCCATGACCCTCAGGTGGACGGGTTGGTGGTCCACAGTCTCCTCGGAGCTGTAGGTGTCCTCTGCAACACAGATGGTGAGCCAGGTCAGAGGCATGGCAGCCCACTCGAATA